AATTTGTTTCTCAAAGGTAACAGTGTGAACCCTGAAAGTGTGAAGTCTGCTGCAGTTGTTGAAATCAGTGCAGGCTGATCTTTTGTTTGTGTGTGTGTGGTGTTTTAATCCAGGGAAGATCATCTCCATAGAAACTAGTGCTTTGCGAGCGACAGGCAGGCCTGGATGGGAGGACCTGGTCAGGAAATGTATCTATGCTTTCTTTCAGCCGCAGGGCAAAGAGCCCTCCCACGCCAAGAAGCTTTTGCATGAGGGTGAGTAGCTACTATTGATTTTTTTTCCTCTTCTCTCTCTCTCTCTCTCCCCCCTTTTGCCTCCACTCTCACAAATTATTGACACGCTCACTGCCGGCTCTGTCATGGCTGCAGGAGTTTCTGCAACATGTCAATGGCACTATAGTGAACTGAGTAGAATACTAAATATTAAAAACTTTTCAAACTAACTTGAATCCACCTACACCGAGAGAGGATGTTTATGTAGATTTATGGAGGTGGTAACTTCGCTCTAGGCTTGTAACCAGTAATGAATGAGTTTGATTGATTAGTCTGTAAGGTTCCTGCAGCCCTGCAAATTATTATTCTTATTTATTTTTTTACCAAGCAATAATTACACACTTAACTTACTAAAAGATAAGGAAGTAAAAGAAGTCGTCACACTTCAGAAGTTAGTTATACATCAACTGACTTGGCTTAATTTCAGCTCGGCTGCTAACAGAAAAGTGACACATTCCTGAGACGCTGCTCCACCTTTTTAGGCCTAAATCCTTTATTTCTCTTTCATTCTCAACAGTGATGACACATGGGACCGCAATCAGCCCGCTCTACCATTTCACTCTGAGTGATGGCACTCCGCTTAGCGCTCAGACCCGCTGCAAGTTCTGCTGCCCCCCCAACCCTGATGTACAGCCCTTCATTATGGGCATTCACACTATTGACAGGTACTATGACTGAACACACACACACACACACACACAGGAGATGACTGCAACTGAGCCTAATCTTATTCATTAGTGGATAAAGTGATGTTTGACAACCACATGTAAAAGGTCAAAGATTTTAAAACTTTGTACTTCCATGGTCAGAATTAATTATCCAGTTTCAGAAGTTAGCCTTAGTGTAGATGTTATGATAGTAATTTACTTCACTTTGTGTCAGTAACAAGTGGTATTTTAGAATACAATGAATTTTCATCCACTGAAGTGTGCACAACATGCACCTGCAGAGTCCCATGCATGTTAGTTTCCCAGTTATGGTCTTTTTGGGGGGTGTTGCAGATGATGCTGGTATTTTCAAGGATTTTAAAATTGCTCTGACTTTCTCTGAAGTTCTACCAGCTGCGTAAAAGTGTAATTAAACTGCTTTTATGGTAAAATGGGTCAGTGATACTTTTCAGATGAATGTGCGCCTTACACAGTAATTTGATCATTTATGGCAGACTCATTTCAGTAATGTACTGATTGGCCATTTTATTTCATTTTATTTGATGTTTTCTCTTCCATGCAAGGTGCAGTTTGACTTATTGATTGTTAACAGAAGTTTTTTAATCATCAGCAAACAAAAAGTGCTACGACAAGTGTTCTGATATGGATTTTCATTCTTAAAGCTTGTAATGGAGATAATGAATGTTTTTTTTTCACTTTATTGATTACGGGGAGAATTTAAAGAGCAGCAGACCGAGAAGCCTGGATGACGCTTGAAGCCTGGATAAGGCAGACACTGATAGAAAATGGGGTGTTTGTGGACGTGATATAAAGATGTGGTTGACATCTTTAATTTTCCTTCCTTTTTCTTTTCCCAGGGAACACAACACTGCTAGCTCTCAGGAAAACACTAACCCCAGCCTTCCACCAACCCTCAGCGGTATCGCCCAAACTCCCTCCCGCTCCCCTTCCCTCCCCCCCAGCAGTAATTCAACCCAAGGCTCAAGTCTCGCCACCGCGGGCCTTCACACCAACAACAGCAATGCCTCTTCCCACGGACATAATCCAGCCACGCCGACAGGCTACCTGACACCCAATCGGACGAATTGTCCCCAGCAGGTCAACAGCCCCTCTCCTTTGAGCAGCCCACTTACAGCAACCCCTACCTCTTTTATGTCGCCCAGGATGCCACGGGCCAGTCCTGGGTTAGGTGGGAGCCCTCGGGTACCAGGGAACCCCTTCTCTCCCTCCACACCTGGCCTCCATTCCCCAGCTGGGGCTCTAAGCAGTGGAGGAAGCCTCAACAGGCAGCAGTCTAGTGGTGATGGCAACAGTAGCGCAAGCAGTGGGTCAACAGGGTCTTTCTCC